AACTCAATATTAGGTTTTTAGGGGGAAAAAAATGAAAATGTCCATGCTTCTGGAGTGGGGCTGGGGATGAGGGGTTCAGTACACAAGCTGCCCCAAGGAGGACAACCCCAGACCACTCACTCAGCAGCTAGGGGCCAGATGAGAAACATCTCTCCATGACTGCTACAGCTCCAGCAGGCACAGCCAGGAGGGAAGTGCATGTCCCCAAGCTAGGGCAGGTCCAGGTTTGTCAGCCCCCTGCACTCCCTAGACAGAGTGAGGAATGTAATAAACTGTGCACTTCCCCTTGCTGTCTAACAAAGAGGAACAGCCAGCAAAATCTCCTTATTAATCTGGGGGTGGGGGAAGCTTCAACTTCTCCTCCTTCCCTCAAGGGCACCTGAGATGGGAGGCTTGGGGTTAGGGCAGTTCCAGATGTCAGGGGGGAACCCCCAGGCAACCCCTTTTACGTGCCTGGTGAATGTCTCTTCATGGTTTTATGAGACGTAATCCCGTTCTAGGCACATTGCATTTTCTTGGTACAATCAAACCCTTACCTTGGTTTAAGTTGGGTGGAGAACCTAAGGCCCAGGGGCTGGATGCAGCCCCTGGATTGCCTGGATCTGGCTCCTGAGGATCAGGGCTTCCCTCTTGCCCCAGCATTGGGGGAACCCAAGTGGGTCGTCAGCCCTCCTGCCAGCTTCCCCTAGCACACAATCTACTAGCTGGGATTCCCCCACCTCTCCCTCTCCCTCTGGGCTCTAGTGTGTGAAGGACTCATGTGATTTTGAGGTTTTTTTGCTTCTCACTTGTGTGATGCCCCTGGCTGACTTCTCTGTGGGTCAGCAGCCCCAATCCAAAAAAGGTTTCCTGCCCCTGGTTTAAGTTATAAGAAGAAGCTTAATACCACATTTGGTGATCCTAGCTCTTATAATTTAGGAGAACTTGAACAGACAAACAAATTCTCTGAAATATACAGTAATTTTTTATTGACATTCAGAAATGCAGTGTAAATCAGATGAGCTAATCACACAGTAACTAAAAAACATAAACCACTGATAAATCAGCTTCAGCCATTCTGATGTAAGTAACGTAGTTCTTGTGCTTCACACACATGAATCTTCATAGTAGTTCTCTGCAAAAAGTGCATAGTAGTTCTTGCAGCGATTTGGGAAAACATCTGAGAGAAACTGACATGCCTCCACTGACTTCAACCTAATGATGTGTACCCCTGGATTAAATTACTTACTAAAGGCTAGAGGGAGAGAGAGGTGGTGGTAGATCTAGGCCTAATATTTGCCTTCTATTTACCAGATGTGCATTTTCATCACACACAGAGGTTAGGCATGAACATTAATCTCTCATTTAAACGTGGAAGAAAGTAAATAACTTTTTAATATATCAATTAGAGCTTAGTTTATAACTTTTAAGGTGCGCCAGTCCCAGCTGTGCTTGGGAGCTGAATATTCTCAGGTCTACTGATAACATTCCTCTGGAGCACTAGCTGTTAAGTACAGGGGTGGCTTAATGAGTACAGTAATTCCTCATTTAACACTACAGATATGTTTCAGAAAATGATCGTGTAAAGTGAAAACGGGGGTCAATTTTCCCATTGAAAATAATGGAAAAGGTGGGGGTTGCATTTCAAGCAATGGTGTCTGTTGAGACTGGGATATAAGATTGGGGGACAAAAGGGACTGGGTAACAGCAGGGAGGGTAGGTGTTTGGCTCTGGGGAAGGAAAGGGGAGAGGGATTGGGTTGGGAGTATGCCCCTGTGATGGGTCTGCCAGAAGCCCCGCACAGCCACTGGTGACAGGCTGGCTGGGGAAACCCAGCCACTGGCCTGCAAGTGGGGGCAGAAGAGGTGTTCGGGGACATAGGCTCCCCAGACACCTCACCCCCTCTTCCGCCCATGTCCCCAGACGCCTCTCCCCCACCCCCACTTGCTGGGTTTCTGCAGCAGGCCTGTTGCTGGGTCGTGTAATTCAAAAACCGTTGCCTAAAAAAAAAATCATGCTATCATGAAAATGTTTTAAGCGGGCACATGTTAAATGAGGAATTACTGTATTTTATACGGAACCACTGTGATTTCTTTGTGCAGGGAGGGCATACCATGGGGATGCTTGCCAAGGTAGGGCACTCCTTTCCCTCACCATCTCACAGAGCTGTCCTCTGTAGAAGCTTATTCTGAGGAAGTGAGGGTGGAGGTGTGTCCAGCCCAACTAAATTTCAGAATCTGTTGGCCAAAAATAGGGAATATGGAGGACTATGGTTACTATTACGCCCAGGGGATGATATGCCTCCACAAGGCTCTGTTCTCCTGGGCATCCCCTACATATCTAGTTCACCTACCAAAAGCCAATTCACTTTGACTTTGATGGGAGAAATCCCCTTTAGCTGTGCCAGGGCATCATAATTGATCACTTATCTCTTTTTTCAAATGGGACATGCCTACTTCTGTAGGATTATAAGGAATTTCTTCTATGAAACTTGCAGCCTTTTGGATCAAATCTGGAAGCAATTTTGAGAAGAAATAATCTCCACATAACTAGATGTAATTTGTAATCTTGGCGCTTACAGGTAGTGTTTTGGTAATGGCTGTTTTGCTGAAAAATGACATCTTTGTAATACACTACAGAATGGCAGGCCATGTGTTTTGCTACAAACCAGATTTTATCTCACATTTTCATTTAGTTTTCTAAAATAGTATTCAGTGCAGCATGAAAATGATTCTTAGTTCCAGTAAAGCTATCCTTGTGTACAGAAATTTGTAACTACAGGTTGAACCTTTCTAATCCAGCATGCTCTTGTTCAGCAATATCTATGGTCCAGTATGATTTTAGTCAGCTGGATGTCCACTTATCATGAGCGTGGCCAAATTTCCTCACATTCCCATAAAGTTTGTTTATAGCTACCAATCCTGGCTCTCAGTGTTCTGTGCTGTTATTTAGCTCTAATTTACTCCATAATGTTTCTAAGAGTCCATAAAAGCAGTGTTGGTAATGCTGTTAGACAATATTAACTTCCAGTGGTTTGGCAAATACTCTGGTTTGGCATCAGTCAAGTCCTGAGGGTGCTGGAATAGAGAGTTTCAATCTGTGATGCTCTTGGGGTGTATAGAAGATTTGGTCAGGTGAGGCCATTGTGACCAACTGCTGGCTAAGCCAAAGCTCTGCCACTACAGCCTGGCTGAAAAGACCAAGTGGAAGCCATCTGAGCAAACCCATTCCTGATGTGCTAATGGAAGCAGCTGTGGGGCTCATTAGCCTGAGGGCTAGATAAGGCAGCCAGAGGGGAAGTGGAGAGGGAGGAGCCAGGAAGTGGCTGAGTGTGCTCCCCAGGCAGAAGGAGAGGCTGGCTGAGTTTGCTGTGAACAGAAGCTCTGTAAATAGAAGGTGGTGAGGCATTGGCACTGACAATAAAAGGCATGGGAGAATGCACCAGAAAGGGTCTCCAATTGATTTGTGACCCAAGAAGAGTCCCAAGGCAAAGTCCTTGCCCCACCATATAAACCCTTAACTACAGTCATCAGCAGAATTGCACTTCTGCAATACCAGGATGCCAGCCTGTATTTCCACTGATTCATCTGTACTGGTTTGTTTGTAATTTCTGGTTTGAAGAAAATATAAAATACAGACTTTCCAGAATGGGCTGTAATTTTTGTGACTGAAATATGGAAGTATGGACAGAGTGCCCATTGGTTTTCAGTCTACTTGACCACGGCCATCTGGTATTAAAAGTATCTGAAAATTGGTTTACAACCAGATATAGTTTTTCTATAATATAGTGTCAAGAGGTCAAACCTTTAATTTATTCATGGGCAGAATTATTTCTTCCTTTAAGGTCTCCTCAACTTTCAAACTCCTGAGAAAAATGGATCCTGTCCAAGCAGAAATAAAGAATGAATGTGTATGACAGCAGTTTTGAGGAAATGATTAATTTCTTGAGAACAAAGTGGACTTTGGTTCTGCTTTTCTACTTTCCAGGACACCGTCTCATATATAATGGATCTAGAAAGATGATTCAAATGAAGTCACAGAGTCTTGTGTTCTTTTCTCCTTTCTTTCTAAGCAGCCTGTTCTCATTCTTGGCTGTCGTCAAACATTGCCAGGGCCTCTTCTAAAACATCATCTGGATTGGCCAGTTCAATCTAAATGGAAAAGCACAAATAAGTTATGCAATATAATGTTAACTGAGGATTTATAAGCAGTGATTATTCACAAGCTGCAGTAGTATTGCCAGGCCTCATGGTACTACCTTAACATAGTCTACTGTGGACAAAGTGTAACCAAGGTCTGCCACCATCATTTGCATGATAGATGCTGTCAAAGTTGACAGACTAGGGAGGAAAACATTTTTAACAGGGGAGCTGTCAACAAATGGGATTGTTGCTGGCAGTGGATAGTATCAGTTGCTTCTAAGGAAGATGCCAAAAACCTCAGGATGGAAAATGATGGAATAAACTGCCTACTGGGAAAGTTTCTTTCCAATCCTAGTCAATTAGTGGTTCGTTTATCCTCTGGAATATAAATATCTAATTCTTATACGTGCAACAAATTACACAGCTTAACTATGTTGTGGAAGAAAGCAGTTTCCTGTTACAATTCATTATTTTGTATTCCATTTTGTGACTCTTATTCAATTGTAAACAATAGCCATAATTTTAATAAAATACAGGACTGTGTAGCACTTTAAAGACTAACAAGATGGTTTAATAGGTGATGAGCTTTCGTGGGCCAGACCCACTTCCTCAGATCAAATAATGGAAGAAAATTGTCACAACCATATATACCAAAGGATACAATTAAAAAAATGAACACACATGAAAAGGACAAATCACATTTCAGAACAGGAGGAGGATGGAGGGTAAATGTCTGTGAGCTAATGATATTAGAGGTGATATCATTAGCTCACAGACATTTACCTTTCTCCCTCCTCCCTCCATCCCTTCTGTTCTGAAATGTGATTTGTCCTTTTCATATGTGTTCATTTTTTTAATTGTATCCTTTGGTATATATGGTTGTGACAATTTTCTTCCATTATTTGATCTGAGGAAGTGGGTCTGGCCCACGAAAGCTCATCATCTAATAAACCATCTTGTTAGTCTTTAAAGTGCTACATAGTCCTGTTTTTTGTTTCAACTGCACCAGATTAACATGGCTACATTTCTACCATAATTTTAATGTCTCTTCATGATGTCTTTTTATGCCTCAAACTATTTGTCTAACTGCCTCTGGAGCCCTTCTCCATTTCTCTGTCCTCTCTTCATATAGGATTCAATATTTGCTATTCTATTCCTTAGATAGCCTAAGACTTCAGAATCGTTTGCTGTACATTTTCATTATATTGCTTGCTGCAGGGGTGCCAACAGCCTTGCCAGACCCTTGGGCAAAGTAGGAGGGGTTGGCCTTATGCTCCTGGAAGGGGCAAAACCTCAGGCAGAAGGGGCAGGGTCACAGTGCATGCAGTACACTATGCCAGGTGTCCACCTCCCATGCAGCTCTCAGAGCTGCCCAGAGCACAACATGCGGCACTCCAGCGGCAATTTAAAGAGTGTGGGGCTCTGGCCGCTGCTGCCCCTGTAGTAACAGCAACACCAGCCAGGAGCACTGGGCCCTTTTGAATTACAAGACTCTGGGGCAATTGCCCCTTTTGAGGGCCCCCCCATTCTGCCTCCCTCCTCCCTGGCTGTGGGCCTGCTTGGCTGAGACACCCAGGTCTGGCTTTCGCGATTATAATTAAGAACCAAGGAGTGGGTAACTATTTCCATTTATTCCTTCAAATGTGCATTGCCTTGCATATGTGAGTCTTTACTTCTTTAAACATCAGGTTCCTCTGATGTCTTTTTCAATATCTCTAGTCTTGAGTAATCTAATTAATCTTGTTCATCCTTCTCCAAGTTTTGGCACCTCACTGTTCACTACTTTTTCTGTCATTAATTAATATAGTAAGCCAATGGAACTGACAGCCACCAGAGGCCCGGAGGCAAGGTATGAGAAGGCCCAGCTCTCTGCTCCCAAAAGGGGCAGGGCCTTGTGTAATCACCCCTTAATGCTGCTCCCGACAGTCCTAAGAGCTGCTTGGAGCAACAATCTGGCAGCAATTTGTAGGGACCCACGGTGCTGGGCCTCACTGGATTGCTGGGCTCTAGGGCAACTGACCCATTCCATAATCCCCATCAGCAGGCCTCTTATAAACAACACTTGTAGTGCTACAGAATTTTGGGCTACCTCACTGCTAACTTTTTATCAGGTTGAAATTTGACCTTTTTATCCCTACTTCTGCTCCCCCATTCCCTACAATAGTTTCTACCTCTCACCCCACATTCACGTTTCTTTACCAGTTCTTAAGTGACCTAAGCAAAGGCTTTTTGACAACCCAGATGAATTGCAGCTGGTTCCCCTTTCTCCACTTTTCTGAATAATCAAAATACTCTGCTAGATTAAAGAGTTAGTTGACTTCTCCTTGTAAATTTAATTCTGGTGAAAAGTTCTATACTTATAGTGGAGATGGATACTTTCTCTTTGTTCATGGAGGATAGGTCCATCAGTGGATGGGATGGGCAGAGATGGTAACCCTAGCCTCTGTCAGAAGCTGGGAATGGGTGATAGGATGAATTACTTGACAATTACCGGTCTGTTCATTCCCTTGGGGCATGTGGCATTGGCCGCTTTTGGAAGATTAAAGTCCATTTAGCCTACTATGTTGAGTAGGAACAGATCCTACAGTGGATGTGTTGTAATTTAGTTTGCAGGGAATTTAAATCAATAACTAGAGCTGAACAGCCTACTTGAGAATTTGAAAGTGGAAGGCAGCTTGGGTGAAAGTGATAATTAAATGATAAAATTCAAAATTCTAATGCTGGTCTATACTATGAGATAAGGTCAAATGCATTAAGGTCAACTTTTTTTCACCCATTTTGTAAAGTCAAAGGTACATGTCCTCACTATGTGCAAAAATTAGATGTAATTTGAAGTAATATTCCCAGAAAGGTGGCTACCATCATCTTTGAGAGTTATGCACTGTGGGAAGCTATCCCACAGTTCCTGCATCCCTTTTTTATTCTGAGTTATGCTCCCTACAGATTGGCTCGGGGTGCCTGCCATTTAGGGTTCTGTAATGTACTCGTCTCCTCCCTCTCCCTCCACTTGAACAATGGCAAACAGTTTCTTTGTGCTCTTTTTATTCCCCTGACTATCTGTACAGATGCCACAGCAGCATAAGCATGGAACCCATGGCGGTTCCCAGTGAGCATTGCAGCAGCATGGCAATCATATTAACCATAGTCAGCCTTATGCTGGTGTATATCCACGGTCCAGCGGAATGAGGAAGAATCTCAGGAGGCCATGGACATATTCTGCAAAGCACTTGAGCTGAGCAACTGACAGTTGCTACCAGCATTCGACCCTCTGGACACAGTGGAACGCTGGTTCTGATGCCATCAGACAAACACAGACTGGTACGGGGTGGGCAAAAGCCTCTCAGCGGGCCAGATCAGGCCAGCCTTGGGCTTTGATGCAGCCTATGAGCCGATTACAGGCCCCAACCCCTAATTACAGGACCCACAAGGGAGGGGGAAGGAGGAGCTCAGCCCCTCCGCCCTGCACTGCTGCTGGAGAG